ACTAAATGCTAACTAAATGCCGGGCTAAATCCGAGGTATTCCGACCCGGAATTTTGGGGATCCCCCTGTATGAGTTCAAAATTTCAGCTGGGCAGCTTGTGGGTTAATTCCGGCCCTGCCGGTCATGGTTCCGAGGTATTCCGACCCAGAAGTTTGGTGACCTCCCTGTATGAGTTTTTTGAGTAACCAAATCAGCCAATTATACGAGTGTCTTTTCCGTTGTTTAGCTCAGTAGTTCTCTTTCCGTAATGCCATTTGGTGTGGAAAAAGCATTGTATCGTGGAGCCAGGCGTTATCCAATGACCTCTAAGAGAGGTCATAATTACTACAAAGGTAGGCTTTCGTAGCATTTATGCAAGTATTGAATACATTTTGAAATAACTAATGTAATTGAAGGTACCGGAAGTGGCGCTATGGGCTGGCATACAAAGAAAGGTAATTAGTGGTCGTTTACAAGTAAAGTTTTATAAATTCCTTTTATTTATGAATTATATTATTTTAGGTGGTTATAAAATTGATTTAAAAAAAGTTCGGACATACGTAGTACCCGATTTATCCGACTGTAAGGTGACAATGTAAATTCGTGAATTTATCGTTCGCTAGCTTACTTAACATTAACCGTTGGAAATGATGGACAAACAGTATAAACCCTACGTTGAACCCGATGCCAAAAAGGGTATTAAATATGATCTTTCACCAGGAAAATATTTGGAGTTACTGAAAGAATCTTTGGGAATAGTAAATAAACCCAAAGAAGATGATACAATAACAACAGAATCAACAATAGCAAAATCACCTGGCGAACCTGAACAACCAAAAACCGAAAAAATTTACGAGAGGGAATCGTTGTTTTAGAAATTATATTCATAATAAGTCTTGTAATTAACGATCTCTTTGCATGTAATAATATTTTTGACCCAATATTCAATCATTATGGGATTTCTTATGTAAAAACGGTTTAATAATATTTTTTGATGACGACAAACTGCTCATGATACATTATAAATGCAAAGTATTTTATATTTAACTTTATAATTGGAAACTTTTACTGTATAATGAACTCTAAGAATGTTAAATCTTATTGCCAATAGCTCGAAATTTCATAGTACTGGTGTGTCTAGCATAGGTTAAGTTCGATTCTATTGGCTGATCAGCAAGAGGTTTGATTGGCTAAAATTAAAGATCGTCTTTTATATACCTATTTCTTTTCGATATCCCGATGAGTGTGGCCAAGGGCGATTCATCAGTGATGATCGTTTTCTAGTGTATCCTGATTACACAATCAATCGTCATATTGATATTTTCTTTTATACTAGAAAACTGTCATCAGTGATGAATCACTGGTTCCCCTTGGCCGCACTCATATAGTTTGTTATCGAAACATCTAAAAATTAGTTATACATGTGATTCAATTATGTAATGTATATCATTTATCGGGGTTAAGTTCGTTGAATAATAAACCATAAAAGTTTACATCGAGATTTTCCCTTGGCCACTCATAGTGTAAAACAGGTTGAGAATTTTGTTCATCTTTACTTTATAACTTGTGCACATGATATAATCAAAGAAACCAAAAAAAATTAATATACAAACTTTGTGCTACACACTGATATGGACAAAATTGCTTCTAGGACAAGTTGGTGGAACAACTGGATCCGACTGGATGTCAAACGCGAATATAAAAGTTAAGTTTTTAAAGTACCATCCGACGAAATTTTAAGCCATATTAATTATAAAAAAGAAATGTCTTCACTTTCAAGTTGAAAGTTCTATTATAAACAATATAAAAAAACTTTGTGCAACAATGTTTTCAATAAGAATAAACAACTAATAATAATGAACTTTACCTATGCTGGTGTGTCTGGGCGTGTTTAAACAAATTGACATGTCATATAGCATTGGGTCGGCATAATTATTATATTATTTAAGGAGTATAAAAAAATTGGTTAGAGAAAACTTATTTTTATAATCTAAATTATAGTTTGGCATGATTAATAAAAGTATTAAAGCATATTACTCTTTTTGATAATTGCTTGAACCAAGTTTTTATTGAAAGTAGTTATATATAATTTATTATAACAATATATTTATTATATTGATATAATTAAACCTTATTTTTTAATCTGTTTAGCAGGCAAATTTGCTTGTTAAATTTCTAAAAAATTAAAATTCTTTAATAAAATCTCAAATATTAAACTTAGCTATATATTTTTTATTTAAAAAATATAATTTAAAATTTATTTTTATTAAAAAAATTTTAAAAATTATTAAAAAACTTGTGTAAAAAGTTTAAAGTTTTTGGTTTAAACTTTTATTATAAATTTTTTTTTAAATTTTTTAGAATTTTATATATTTTATTTGTATAAAAATTTTTTATTTTTTTAAATATTAAGATAAGTACTTGTGATTTAGAATTTTATTGATAGTACATTTAGCTAATAGTTGCATTACAACTACAAAAGGTAACTATAAAAAGAATATACAACTAGTTACTTGTATAACTTTAGTTATTGTTTAATTTAAGTAGTTCATCTAAAGGTTTTACATTAGCTGTTATACTTAGAACTTGTTTGTAAATTTTTTATTTAAACATTCTAGTTCTTGTATTTATTCAATTTACTTATACTTACTAAGATGTCTTAGTTGATACTAGTACAAATATAATCATTAAGTCTTTAAAATAGTCATTCATATAAGGATTTTTAATCTTGTACTAAACCTTCTAGAATCTTTTGTATTCTATTTTTATAGTTAACTTAGTAATATTATAGTTAAAACTAATACTTGCAGTGGGGTGTAGCAATCTAGTGAAGTGAATAGGTTGTCAATCTCAAGTGGCAGATCTAGAGTTCAAATCCCAGTGATAGTGAAAATTTGCAATTCTTTTTATATTATGACTAACTGTCTTTTGTGATTGGTTAAGATAAAATATCTGTAACTTATATTATACTAGTATGACTGGAAGGTCTAGGCACTTGTATAGCATTGTATAAGGGAATACAAACCAGTACTAGGCAGTGTTAATCCAAGATAAGTTCTTAGACTATATAAATCACAGAAACCAAGTAGGAAGATGAAGACTCACTTAAAAGATTCAAGTAGAAAGATAACCTAAACTTTTGATAGTACTACTGTAAAGATTAGACTTATGAAACAGAGCTAAAACTTGTAAAACTAGACAAATATGTTGGTCTTTGAGGAGAGATCAGATGAACCAATCAAACTGCTGGAATTTTCAAATTCTGGAGAAAAAAAGTACATGTTAGCAAATATGTAAACTAGAGATATATAGTTTCAACTTACCTTTTTGACCTATCTGAAATAGCAGCTTGATAGAACTTAAATTAAATATCAAAATAGCAAGAATATGTTGTAAAGTTAGTACCAGAGTTAGGATGAACTTTACAAGGGTATAGTGGTTTAATGGTATGCCCTGACTGCCAGTATTAGTTTCAGTTATAGTAATACCAGATCAGCTATAAGAATGAAATACAGAAGATTCTGAAAGCTTTAGTACAAGGTTAAAGGTTCTTTATATAAATGAACTGCTTTAAAAACTTAGTGGCCATGGCATATTTTTATTAGCATCAGCTAAAGTTATTGGTAGGCAAAGATAGATAGGTGGATATAAAAACTAAGTGGTTAAATATGAAATCTACAAGTAGGTTCCAAATATAGCAGCTAGTATAGAACTTTTAGGTGGACTACTTAAATTAGACAATGACTAAAGTTGTATAAGTAACTAGTTGTACACTCTTTCCATAGTTGCCTTCTGTGATTGTAATACAACTATTAGCCAAATATACTATTAATAAAATCCTGTACTTAATTTATATCATAATCTACTATTTTGGTATTTAAATTAAGTTTTATCAAGTTTCTAGTTCAGATAGTCTAAAATAATAAATAAATTATATCTTTAGTTTATATGTTCTTTGGTATATAATAGTATTCTTATGAACCTGAACTGAACTGAACTTTGGTCAAGTTCAGGTTCAGGTTCAGTTCAATACTGAATCTGAACTTGAACTTTTTCTAAAAAAAAGTTCAGTTCAG